CGGAAAGAAACACAATTCTCTTTTTCTTGTCCTTTGCGTAAGGTTACAGTCATTAACGGGGAAGATCTCCTATCCAGCCAGTCAATAAGATTTTATTTATTAAAAATGTAGATATTTGAACTCTGTTCTCAATGAAAGGCGTAACTTATCCACAGCCAGACATTTATTATTTTGTTTCCTATTTTATGGAATAAATATTTGATAAAATTTCAACCTGTTGTGTCTTTACTTTCGTTCTATATCGTTTTATCGAGAACATTTTTAATGACTTCCATACTTCTTTGGTATATACACATATAGTTGTGTCTATTTCAGAACCAGCCAGCGTTTCTGAATCATTCACTGAGAATCGACCATATTCACCGTGACTGGTAAATTTCATCACTCAACGACGGCTAAGTTATGGAAATTGCGAAAGATTCCAACCATTACCAATTTTAATCTAAACTCCAAAGGAGGTCTATCCAGTTACAGCTGTTCGGATGTTGTAAGCATCACGCATAATGTGACAATTGATTCACATAGAATACATTTTACAACGATTCTCGGTCATCAGGTATAAGAAAGCAAAATAAAAAAACAAAAACAAACTACGTCCATCTCTTATTTATTATCTCTTTACTTCCCCCTTCTTACTTTTTGCTTTTTTCCCCCATATCATTTCCGGTGAGTTGACCGATTAAATTGGTCAATTTCTGACCCTACCCCCTCCTCCTCAATATTAAGTATTGTAATAAAAATAAATTTTAAAACTCACCCTTCCCTCTCTAATTTCGACCATGTCTCTCACACTATCCCTCATCACCTTCTATGTCACTTTATATAAGCTTTAATACTGCCCTTCAAAAGTGTAAATTTTAAATTCATTTTTTCACCCTTGAAAGTGGAGCCTGAAGATCCAGAGAAAAATAAAATCTCTGGTGAAATAAATTATAACAATGGAACCTTAAAGTGGTCTGCTTTTTCTTTAAATTAAATTATTCGCTCTGACTTAAAATTGAGCTCTAGGGATTTCATCCTTCTTGGGATTAGCCATGCGGATTACCAAGATTTTCGTTGCTTATATATATATATATATATATATATCCTCGTGTATATATATATATATATATATATATATATATATATATATCGTCGTGTAACAGCATGGGATAATTGTACATCTCAGAAAATATTTAATATCTAAAAACCACTAAACTAATTGTTTCATTTTTCCCGGTTTTCAGATAAGACGTTTAGTCATCTTGATACCATTTGTCGTAAGAATCACTAAAAAAACCCTTTGAGTTATTCAGATAAAAAAGAGAACAGGTTAAAATCATTTTGTGTTAGCCTGACCATATCTTCCAAACTGAGCAATGATCATTCAGGCCTCCAGTAATAGTACCAACATTCTTACTCTGGCTTCCATCTTCAAAATCCATTCAAGAACAATCAAGAGTACGGTGTATAAGTTTAAAAAAAGAGGGAACAGTAGAGAGGAAAACTGGATCAGGAGGTCACAACAGGAAGAGGGATCATCATTTCAACTTCGACTAAATACATTCTTATTGTTCCAATTAGAGTCCAATAGTGTTATAAAAACCGCGGACAATTCGAGTAAGATATCTTTAATCATTTCTAAGATACAACGGTTCAAACTTAATCTAACAATTGGACAATTTTACTGCTACACGATATATATATATATATATATATATATATATATATATATATATATATATTGTGAACCAAAAGTTGGCTTACAGCTGTTTCACGATTTGTTTCTTGTTTTAGATGTCATTTTGCTGAACCGTTCTTTCAGCAAGATGGAGCATCTTCTCATAATGCATTGGCAGTAAAAGACTACCTTAATAAAACCATTCCACAGCGTTGGTTCGGAAGAAGTGGCAGTATCGAATGGCCACCACGTTTACCTGACACCAAGGGATTTCTTTTTTGGGTGGGGTGTAGTAAAGAACAAGGTTCATGCGAGAAATCCCCACACAGTGGACGAATTAAAAAAACATAATCAGTAATATTTATTGAAATTGATGCATATTGGGATTTGTATCGTACTGTTTGTCATAGTGTTCTGGAGAGGTTCGAGGAATGTTGCAATGTTGAAGGAAGACATTTTGAGCAATTAAGAGATTAAACTGTACTAAAAATATAAGTAAAGTGTTAAAACAAATGTACATAAACAGTTTTGAACAAATATAATTGTTACAAATATATATAAAACGTAATAAAGTGTTTTTTAAAAATGTAAAGTGCATACGTACTAAATGTTAGCCTACTTTTGGCCCACCCTATATATATATATATGTGTGTGTGTGTGTGTGTGTGTGTGTGTGTGTGTGTAGAAAGGCAGAGGGTCAGGGAAAAAGAAGGCTTATACTTAGTAATATTTACCACGGCTCTCCACTGAGACGTGATGTGACACAAGGTCAGGTTTACTAAGGGGAACCCGAGCGAGTACACCCGAGTCAAGGACAAAAATTGCCCCAGCGCCCGCAAACGTCAGTTGCGTTGGCCTTGGTAGTGACTACCGATTCCCCGTCTCTAGTGCAATCGGGCTGCAGCCTCGGGCAGCTGTTCCCCAGGACTGGCTTACACTTAGTAAGTATATATATATATATATGTGTGTGTGTGTGTGTGTGTGTGTGTGATCAGAGATAAAGTTAGGTTATAAAGTCCAAATAGATTACAATGACCCAAAATAATCGTTGAACCAGAAAAGAGTGGAACTAAACAAAAGTAAAGCTGATTGATAAACAGTCTTCATTTAAATAAAGCAATGCCATTTTTTTTGCGTCCCACCTCCACAAACCAGAGATTTACTGGTCCCGGTATTAGATTTTAGTTGGTGGTGTCAGTTTCAATTAGCTTTTAGCTTAAGCACTCGGTGCATCTAGCAGCGACATTCGCCTTTGACTCATTTTTATGCAATGTTCATTGGCTGGATGAGCAAAAAAGGGAGTTTTTAAAAAGAAGAAAAAAAAACAGAGAGAGAGAGAGAAGGGGGAAGAGAGAAAAAATTGGTAATAGTCATAATTCTGAATCTGAATTCTGAGATGAATTTTAATTATTAAGTTTTTGCCTGATCTTTTCATATGAGTGTTACTTTTTATCCCGACGATCTATCTTGAACAATATTCAACCATTTTTTTAAAAAAATCATTTCACCCCAAGCAAGGCGATAATGTCACTAGGACACAGGCATTTACGGGCAGTGAAAAAGAACGTCAGAGTGGGGAGAAGTGAAGAAAGAACAATAAATAGTGTTAAGGAAGGTAGAAGATGGCGATTGATGTTATGTTTATATTTTTGAAGATGTCACAGAAGCAAGAAATCGAAATGGAGTTCCACAGGCGAGAAGTGCCTGACATGAAACTATTAGAATAGAGGTGACGGTCGCATCTAGTTAGTTTAATAGTAAAACGGTGAGAGCAAGTTGCTTATATAGTAACATATGCAGTCGAGGCACTAAGGGAAAAAAATCATCAGAACGGTTGTCATGAAAATATTTGTAGAAAAGACAGAGGGAAACTACATCATGACGGTAAGAAAGTGATTGAAAGCAAGTAAAGTGAAATATGAACCACGTATTAGCTTCCGACAAAACTCGAAATTGCATCCCATTTTACGGGAGCTTCTCTTGCAGGAACGACGCCTTAACCATTTTAGTTTAAGATATATAATGATAACATAATATATAAATTCATCATCATATTATTACTCATCTTTATTTTCTCATAATTTTTCTAGCAGCATTAGTCGAGGTGCGGGTGAATCAACGGTTAATGACACGGGAAATAGAATTGACCAGCCTACTTCAAGTTCGAGCATAGACTGTGCTAACTTCACACTCATGCTCTTGGATAACTGGACGGCAGTTAATCTACGATGATTGCTATAAATTCCAAAAAACTGGGAAGAAGGCAAAGGGGAAATCAATTTATCTTTCCTAAGAAAAATCATAGCAATTAACAGTTTAAAGATATTAAAAAAAAGGAAGTTGTGGAGAGCCATTTTTCGCCTTCAAGGAAAATAGGAAGTAAAAGGAAACTGATGCTTGCAATCGAAAAGAGACAGTTAAAATTGCTGGGGAACATAACGAGGTAAGAGAAATTTCACAGGATATTGTGAATTTTCACGGGATATACAGGAGGTAAAAGAAGTTTGGAGAAACAGCAGATAAACGATTTAACGAGTTTCAGTGAAGGAATATAAAAATAATGACAAAGTGTCACAATTTTGTTAGAGCAAGAAGAGACAGGAAGATATGGAGAGCCATAATCACGTGAAAGAATATATCATATAGAAAAACTATTGCCAAGTACATCATTTTTTAAAGAGAGATGATAAATTTATATATTCTGTTATCATTATGTGCCTTTAGCTGAAATGGTTAAGGCGTTGTTCATGCAAGAGAAGCTCCCACAATATAGGATACAATTTCGAGTTTTGTCGGAAGCTAATACATGATTCATATTTCACGTTTCTTGCTTTCAATCACTTTCTCACCGACGTGATGTAGTTTCTCTCTTTTCTACAAATATTTTTATGGCAACTGTTCTGAATAAGTTTTCCTTTAGTGTCTCGACTGCATGAATTTAAGTATAAAATGTTTATTTCGATTATAACCAGTTTACAATTATTACTATGAAGAAAGAAATCTTTTTTTTTATATTTCTTTTACTTTTGCTCGTAACATTCAGATTGTCACTCTATGATATTTTATAAGAAGTGCTGGTCAGAAATTCGGAATAAGTCGATCTGGGTTGCTTACTCACGGGTGTAGAATAGCGATTTGGGAATTATAATGAAAAGCAATAGAAATACGAGTCAAAATTGGCAATACGGTATTTCTACCTTTATTAATCCTGACTTTTTCCTAATTCAAAATCAATAATGGAAAATTACTAAAAACCAAAATGAAAAATACAGACGCTGAAAAATATATTTAAAAAGAGAAAAGTGTGTTGTGGAAGTAAAAAAAAACGTAAATATTGATTATGCGAAGGAAGCAAAGTTTACTTTTTTACAGAAAGGGAAGACAGAAAGAGGAAACTAATCATTATCTATCTATCTATCTATCTATCTATCTATCTATCTATCTATCTATCTATCTATCTTATTCTCTTCATCTATCTATCTATCTATCTATCTATCTATCTATCTATCTTCATCTATCTATCTATCTATCTATCAATCACTGTTCACATCTATGTTGAAACGTAGGACTATATAAACGAAAAAGAAAGTTAAGAAAGAGGAAACTAATCATTATCTATCTATCTCTATCTATCTATCTATCTATCATATTCTCTTCATCTATCTGTTGAAACGTAGGACTATATAAACGAAAAAGAAAGGGAAGTAAGAAAGAGGAAACTAATCATTTCTATCTATCTATCTATCTATCTATCTATCTATCTATCTATCTATCTATCTATCACTCTGTTCACATTTATCTGTTTATGTTGAAAGGTAGGAAAACGAAAATGTGAATGCTAGTCGGAATAAGTTGTATAATTAATATAACAGTCAGACAAACCTTTGCTATTTTCTATACTTTACTCACCAAGAAGTTTATGAATAGTTTTATCCTAGTTAAACTTAATTAAATAAAATTCGTTTTTCTTTTTATTTCGGTTACATCCAGTTTACAATTATTACGAATTGGCTTGCTCTAAGTTTTTTTTTTTTAGACTAACGAGACTGAACTGTATTTCTGAAAGTAATTTGTATTTATTTGCTTAATACTTTCTCCTTTTCCTAAGTTCATTCAGTAATTGCATGCGGCCGGGAAGGCCATAATTACAGGGACTGGCCGGATGGACAAGCGTGAGTGGAACAGATTCGACGACCAGAATGAGAAAAAAAAGGTATTGTGTTAAAAGCACGCCTAAACATTATCAAAACCAGGTACTGATAGTAAGAACGGCTGCAATAGAAGAGGACGGTACAAACAAGATGGCAAAACAGGGGAAACGCTACAGCTGGGGAAATACTTTACCGGATGACAAAGAAAGATAAAAAGCGGCGTTATATGTAATAATATTGTGACAGGGACAGGTAACTGCATGTACGCGCCTTTATTGATTAGATTAATGTTTATAACCGTAATTCCGGATAAAGTTGCAATATATAATTAGTTTAAGTACATCAACATATATTTTATAGAGGTCATTATAAAAATACATCGTATATAAATTTATGACTCATTTTATGCGTATTTTTGATGTCATACTATTAAATTCTCCCTTTTTCTCTTGTCTGGCTATTTCTTCACATTGTTACCGTTATATATATATATATATATATATATCAAGGAAAAGCTTAACACATCACCAAAATACGGTAATAAATTAGGATTTTTTTTGACCAGTAAGTCTCATCAGGCGGAATATATATATATATATATATATATATATATATATATATATATATATATATATATATATATGTGTGTGTGTGTGTGTGTGTGTATATGTATATGTATATGTGTGTGTGTGTAAAGATAAATACAAAATAGGAAAGAACTCGTTAGGTAAATAATCCAAAGTTCTTTAGTATTTTTGTTACTATTTTAAAAAACAGTGCTCGATAAAAAGTAGAGCCTAAATATAATTATTTATTTAAAAATATGATTCCATCGCTACATAAGAGTATTATATTGAAGTTTTCGGCTCTTGTTTTGAAATATGAGACCTCTTATGTAGCGATGGAATCATATTTTTAAATTAATAATTATATATATATATATATATATAAGTGTAAGGTAGGTTAATATGAATGTTCAGACATTTTAAAATCTACGTGTGTATATGCGTTCTCTATTTTAAATTGAGTTTGTCTGTGCATGTACGTGTATATATGTGTGTGTATGTGTATGTATGTATATCCATTTATATATATATATATATATGCATTGAATGTATATATCTGTTAATATGGGTACATTAGGGGCTTACAATGTGTCTCTGCTATTTCTGTTCCTTGTGTCCATATCCGCTCGATATGCATGTGTGTGTATGTGTTTATATATATGTGTGTGTGTATGGAGATGTGTACATTTGCATACGTGTATATATGTGTTTATGCTTACCCACATATGTTTGTGTTTATGTTTATATGTGCATGTACTTACGTTTGTTCTGCTTAGGTGTTTACGTCTACACCTGTATCTGTACGTACGCGTGTGTAGCCATATATATATATATATATATATATATATATATATATATATATATATATGTGTGTGTGTGTGTGTGTGTGTGTGTGTGCGTATATGTGTGCGTATATGTCTATGTATGTGCGTACATGTGTGCGTATATGTCTATGTATGTATATGGTTGTGGGTGTAAGCATATACACGTATGCATATGTGTATGGGTGTGGGTGCGTCTGGTGTGTATATGTGTATGTTTAGAACTGTATAGTTATACGTCTTATCTACTACCGGTTCACTACTTCCCTTCTCCTCTACCCCCCCCTTCCTCCTACCACCATGTCGGGTTTTAGCATGTTGAACTAGTGGTCAATGCTCGCTGATGTTGATATGGGGCGTCGACAGATTTATTGGTAGACTTATCCCCTGATTTTATCCCGATAGTTTACATTCTTATGTTTATTGAGTTAAGACCAAAGAATATTATGAACTTGACACCCTATTAACATCGAGGTGAGATTCTAAATAACTTGTACAGCCAACAGAAATCCAACATGGAAGTTAACTTCGAACTCATCATATGCCCGACATCTGATTGGTTAATAGAGGTCGCCCCCTAGCACTTCAGAAATTTAAGCCCTTTTTCCCCACACTCCCCCATTGAGGGTGTTGCTACCTTTAAGCCATAAACTGACAGTCTATTCTCCAGTTGAGCACCACCACCTGAGGAGTCAGCATTAGGTCTTAGCCGCGCGCTAATCTCTTAGTGCTTGTCGAACTCTCTGCCTTCGAGCAGAGAGGAACCCAGACGAGGCTATGTTGAAGGTCAGAAGGTCTCGTCTGGGGAGGTAAACAAAACCTACGGTGAATTTTTGCTCGACCCACGTTAAACGAGTCTTGTGCCACATCTCGCTCTGTGGGGAACTTGGTTAAATACCACCGACTGAGGAAGCACATACGGTGTCGAGTCATGATTGCATTTATGTAGCGGTTTATAACACGTTTATGTTATAATTGTTAATAAATGTTATTATAGATATATATCAGGCGGCCTGGCGATTGCGTCTAGCATGAAACAGCCTGTCGCCTCTTAGTGTTGACTTCAATTTGACGTTTATATTTATATTTACATACGCTTTACCTCTGATATTGAGCACTTTATTCCATAGATAGAGAACACTTTAAAACTATATTTCTGCACACACACACACACACACACACACACACACACACACACACACACACACACACACACACACACACATACATATATATTATTTTAGGATATTAAAACGAAAACATGTTAAAAATCGCTACACAATTGCTATTATGTTTCAACATGTAAAATGTGTTTCCTCGGGCGATGGTAAACTACTGGCGAGTGAACGATTATTTTAATTTCAAAAAGCAGAATTCTTTTTTCTCGAGAAAACAGAAAGAATTAAAAATAAGCCTGTGGGCTTTGCCGTGATTAACCAATCGAATGTAACCTACGATAAATTCAAGCTCACTAAAAAATATTGTATAGTTCATGACACGAAGTTGTCTGCATATAAATCCTAGACAGTTTCATTATGAACAGATAGAAATAGTTGCATTATTTCATAAGAGGTCTATAAATCTGGCATTCAACTTTCCTAAGAAGTAAAAGCGAAAGATTTGGGGGAGGTAATTTAGCATAATAGCAACTCGTTATATGCTCGGTCAGCTACTCTACTTTGTATTTAAGCCCTCTTTGAAATTAAATCTTACGGATAGTGGAATTATACTATGTCCTTTTTTATCATGGATATATATATATATATATATATAAGTATAGGATTGGTATATACGGAATAAATTCCAATAACCAACAATTACTATTCTTAAAAGAGTGTTCAATATAGGGTTAAGCAAATATAATTATTTATTTAAAAATCACTTGATAAGACTCCAGAGGTGAACATTGAAAATAACTATTTTTGTAGTGATTTTATAACATGTTTATGTTTTAATTTTTAAATAAATAATTATATTTGCTCTACTCTGTATTGAGTACTCTTTTAAGAAGATTAATTGTTGGTTATTGGAATTTATTCTGTATATACCAATCCTATCCTTGGATATTAGCTTCTATTACTGTCGAGCACCGTCTATTCTATTCTTATACTATGGATAGAATCAATTTCGGATTATCACTTAAGAACATTCCCACCACGAACAAAAGGGATTATTTCGTCCATTTAACTCTGCAAACAGAAAACCTTATCAGAAGAATGAACCTTTTAAAATTCTTTTTTATTCTACATTCAACATCATGACTTGATAAGACACCAGAAGTGTTGAAACAAAATGGCTATTTTGTAGTAATTTTATAATATGTTTATGTCATAATTTTTAAATAAATAATTATATATATATATAAATATATATATATATATATATATATATATATATATATATATATATATATATATATTCTTCTTAAAACACGGAACATTTTATTAATCAGAAAGTCGGATACAAAATTATCGTCTCGATTAAAAAGAGAAAACTTAAGGTAACTTTTGTTCGACGTTTCTTCAGAGGAAAACATCGTCGGAATTAAGATAAGCTACTGAAAGGAAACAAACCCGCTTGCAATAAGTCTAAAAGAGACAGAGATGAGAGGAGGAAAAAAAATTAAAGTTAAATTAAACTTTTCGGCGAGTATGTGCCTCGTTCGCCTAGAACGAGGCACATACTTCCTTCTCTTTACATACAATCGAGTGAGACGTGTTGATACCAACCGCTGATGATGTTTCGTCCGAGCACTTTGTTGCACAGGGAAGTACTCTGCTGAATAATTGGACCCACAAGTGATAGAACTCAATACATGCTCTCGATGGCAGACTCATGCCCCTGTCTGTACCCGGATGCTAATGAAACATGTCTATGTATAGATCCAGGCACATGCGACGCAATTTGCACCTCCAGCCATTGCATAATCTTACCTACATCACGCCAACACTTAAAACGATAAATGACTAAACTTTGTTGATAGGTGGGCAAGACATCCTTACGAATGGAGGGGGAAAGCACTTCTAGTATTGAAGATGTTCCATACAGCTACAAAATTGAAGCAGTACATGACAGTTGAGGAGATCTCAATGATTGACTGCGAGAACCAATCCAAGGTAATCTCATGTAGACAGGACAATTAGGTGGACCAAAAGTTTTAATTTCATTAAACTTAGAAATTTTAAGTCTAGTATTAGTTTTGATGATACTTTCAGGATAGCTGTGATATTGGTAGTTGTTCTGAGTTCGGCATCAAGGCTGCACGATGAGTAAGTGTTTTGACAGGACTAATGTTCATAAACTCAGGAGTAAAAGAATCCCAGCTGAGATACAACCCAATAAAAGTGGGCTTCCTATATACGCTGATGAGAAAAGAAGTAAGAGTTCTCTTAACCAGTACCTCCAGGAAAAGTAACGTATTATTATTCTCCACCTCCATCGTAAATTATAAAGAGTAGTGGAGACTATTCAGATGTTGAAAAAAAAACCTGTCTGCCTCATTATGTAATGAAAATGATGTAAAAGTGTCATCAACATAACGGAAATAGCAGTATATTCTATGGATCTTATCAAACAGTTGCCTCTCATGAAACTCTACAAAGATGTTTGGATATGAGAGGTCCCAAAGGACTACCCATCGCTACCCCATCAATTTATCGATCCATGCTATTATCGAAGCTGAAAGAGACAGTTTTAGTAGCTATCTTCATCAGCTCGATAAATACAGTCTCAGGAAAAGATAGAGGCTTTAATAGGCCATGGTACAAATAATCAGCACAAATGTCAATAGTCTCATAAAGAGGGACTTTCGTGAACAGACCATAAATATCAAAAAGAAAAGAAAAACTCAACAGTACATTGCAATTTACGTATATCAGATGCAAACTGGAACGAATCTGGAATACCATACTCAGAATAATAATGCAAAACAGGATCAAGAACTTGTGAAATGATATAAGAAAACTAAAACATTTCATCGTCTGAAAATCAAAAGTCGTTTTATTCATACCGACTATCCCAATAAAAGAAAGGACAAAAAGGATATAGATCTATCCGTGTTTATCAAACTTTTACTGTTTAAAGCTTTTATATAATTTAATGTATGAGTTTTAGATCCATTAATTTTCAATTCCCAAGCAAGAAATTATTAGAATTGAGTTTTCGCCATCGTTTCTTTAAATGGTGAAGCTATGTGCATTTGTTTATGCTAGTAGAGTTCATGTTTTTTTTTCAAAAGATTTTACTGTAAAATAAGATAAAAATCTAAAATAAAAATTTAAGAAAAGAGAAAGATACGTGTGTAAGTCCCAAGTTCCTAGGGTGACATTCATATGAAAATACGGCCAGTCGCTCCCGTGCCGTATGCTTGCAAAATCCGATATGCAATTCATTTTAAATACTTGCAGCTCTGACAAATTGTGTTAATTATACGCTGAGTAGGCGGTGACTATGACTGAACTTTTGACCTTTTGATCTCTCTTGGGCAATCTGCCTGACATAAACAAAAAGTCTCACCAAAAGGAAATAAAACAAATGGCGGATTTTCACGATGAGAACGAGGCTGAGAATATGTTAACGAGCGACATTCAACATTCGGATGTAATAAAACTGTGCTGTTGTTGGTACCCTGTTGAAAGTATTTCGTTCACCTACAGGAGGGTTGGACAATTAATGTCAACTCTATTTTTCGTCAGCCACCACTTTTTGAAGACATATTTTTGCATCCATTTCTCACACTAAATATGATACTACAGAATGAAAGAATTTGAGCATTTGTCTTTTACTTTTACTGATGATATTTACTTACGAGATTTTGTTTTTAATCTGAAAAGTGTTTTGAAAATTGAAGGAAGGTTTCCTCCTCACTCAGGTTTCTCTAATGCTATGTCTCTCGTTTTCAGCAGTAGCTTACACGTTTCATTTAATCTATTTCTTTCTCTTTCTCTATTTCTATTTATTGTGTCCCCGCCCCGCCTTTCCATTCTCATTGTCCCGTCGTTTTTTCTGGTTCGACACGCGTGCCCACACACGCATACGCATGCACGCACACATACACACATACTTTTTTTGTTGTCCTTCTCTTCCTCTCTAAACATTGCGTTATCTTTTCAACCGAGCCTATACCAATTGCTAGACTTGTGACTTTGTAAAATCTATTATACAAGAGGTATTGAAAAATTCTCGGCCCCGCCCACTTCCCAAAATCTGATACAATGACCGAACATCAAATTTTTGGTGGAAGGACCTCTTAGTCGGACTAAGTACATTTTCAAACTATTCCCGTCGCCTCTCTATTGATCTTAAAACTATTCCCGTCCCCTCTCTATTGATCTTAGTTCTAGTTCTATTGATTTAGTTCCTTCTCTCTCTCTTTCTCTCTCTCTCTCTCTCTCATTTTCCCCTGCCTCTTCTAGTTACTCACATTTTATAGATCAACTCTCTTCCCTACTTTAATATCTCCGTATCTTTCATTATTAACATTCTCTCAAAAGAGTCAATATCTCTGCCCAAAGCCGAATCGATTGATAAAATGATAGCAATCGTAATTTCTTAGTTTTGCACAATGGGTAAATCTCATAAAAACATTCTAATCAATCGAAACACCCCCAACAGGACGTGAAGTTCTGATTAGCCATTGTTCGAGATTTTTTTCAACCTTTGCATTGACCAACAAATATATATAAGCAATATTTGTAAAGGGATTTACGTACTCTTATCGCAAGTGACCGGAAGTAAGTCCATCCACGCGAAATGTTCAACAGAATGATTTTTCCGATGAAATATCTAATGCCAAATGAAATTATTTCACAAAAAAAAGTCGAATGTTTTACTGTAGTAAACACATTAAAGCAAAAATACACTAAAAACAGCAGAAGTTATTAATTTTATACCATATAATATGGGCAGTTTAAACAATTTAGATATCTGAGAATTGTTTTAATAAAGGACGAAAAATGCGACACTGAAATCGGAAGGCTTATTGGGATAGCTAAAGATGTCTTCCAAAAGCTAAGCAAAGTACTATGAAAAATGGAAAATTTCGTCAGAAATAAAGAAAAGAATATCGAACTGTTACGTAATATCATTTCTTCAATATGATAGAGAATGCTGGAAAATCTCGTTGCAGAGGAAGAGGAGACTTGAAGCAATGGTTGAAGGATACTGAGAATACTAATGACCGAATATGTGAGTAACGACGGAGTTTTAAAGAAAATAGAGACAAAATGGACGCTTATACTTAACATCGGGAAGAGACAGTTCAAAATTGTAAGGCACATAATGAGGAAAGAGGGCTTGGAAAACTCACAGGACAGATTGAAGGCAAGAGGGACAGAAGAAAACAGCACGTAATCTACTTAGCAAGCTTGAGGAAATAGGTGGAGAAACATGGTTTAGGAGAAATAACAAAAAGACAAAATTTATTAAAAGCTAAAAAGGTTAGAAAATTCTGGAGAGCTTGAACAGACACCGTACATAGATGAAGAAGAAGAAGAAGAAGAAGAAGAAGAAGAAGAAGAAGAAGAAGAGGAGGAGGAGGAGGAGGAGAAGAAGAAGAAGAAGAAGAAGAAGAAGAGGAGGAGGAGGAGAAGAAGAAGAAGAAGAAGAAGAAGAAGAGGAGGAGGAGGAGAAGAAGAAGAAGAAGTAGAAGAAAGTATTATCATTTCAGTATCAATTTAGCTTTCTTCTTTTAGAGAATAAAGCTGTAAGCGATTTAGCCAAGAAAATCACTTGAAGGAATTTTACGTTTGACTAGAAAATCTAAAGGCCGTTTTTTTTTTTTTTTTTTTTTACCTCGAATTTGAGAGAAAAATTAATTTAAGTATGAAAATATATATTGGCACCAGGATATTTCTTTTGGGATTTCCGCTGCGATTATTAATAGCGGCTTCACGCCTTAAGCGATCAACACATCACGTGCTAGTTTTTCTTTTGTCTAGGCTCTATATATAGGCTACTGGCGGTTATGTTAAAGGGAAAACTATTTTTGTTTCACACCTTAAGTAATCATCAGACCATATTCTACGTAATACATAAATTTATTGTAAGATCCAACCGAAAGTACAAACAAACAAAAATATATAAACAAACATCCTCAACTTTAAATAAATTAAGGTCATTGAATAAGACTAACTATAACCTCGATAATCGCATTGATGCAACCTTTGAAACAATTGTATGCCTGAATCATGTGGTTCTTGTTTATTTCACTATGGCATACACAGTGGTAGATTTCAATGAGTCCTTGGTACTGTGTAGCCATCGGTTAGTCTTCTTCTCAATGATACCCTCTAGCAGTCTAGAGGATTAAATCAAGCGTGCTCGGAAGCCATATGTTATGGGAGCTAGACAATCTTATGTTGTTGGAGAAGAAGATTCTATATATAGGTCACTGAGTGGCTTTTTGTAAGTTGGGGAATGGGGAAACTAACTATGAGCTAGAGTTTGTGCATTTCATGTTATTGATCATATTTTGTTTATTCGTCATACATTTTGTTTATATGACAGCGGCGAAATACCGGAGGATCTAGGTAGCGTGATTTTTATATTACTTCTAAAGAAACCAGTTTCGAATTCCATTGAATGAACGATGTAACAAAACTAATGATTAGGAAATTGATTGTTACAACTCGGAGCAGAATTAGACAGAAAATAGGAGAAGAACAAGTCACTGGAACAAAAAAATACAATTTTCATGATCAGAATGCTGTCAGAATGTACAACAGAGACGTAAAAAGAAAGCTCATAGATTGAACAAAAGAATTTGATAAAGTTCCACATTGAAATGTTAGGAAAACTTGATCTACACGGAAAGGATATACGAATAATTCGAAACTTGTGTTGAGAACAGCTTCTATGGGGATAAAGGACTATGCACATAGAAAGAGACCTACAAAAATATTTTTTTACTGGATTTATTTAAATATACAACGAGATGATTTATTTTTTAATCATTTCACCTCATGCAAGATAATAAAGCAACTAAGATGAAGAGGTTTACTCAGTGTGAAAGAATATGAGAAAATGAAAAACATTATTAAGAAGAGAGAATAAAAGAACAAAAATTAAGAAGACAGATGATAACCGTTGAAATTGCATTTATATTTCTGAAGATCAACGTTGACTGGAAAGCAGGAGAGTTCTACAAGCAAGAAGTCCGAGGGAAGAAACTGTTAGCATAGAACTTACGGTTACATCTAGCAATTTCAACTGTAAAATGATGAGACCTAGCTGCCAATCTAGTACTGCGCTTACATTTGTAAATTCGAGGTACCAAAGAGGAAAGCTCCTCAGAACAATTACAATGAAAATGTTTATAGAAAAGGCACAGGGAAGCGACGTGACAGTGATGGGAAGTCACTGCTGTTTTAAAAGGATTAGAAAAATCTAATCTTAATATAAGTTACGTAGACGATACTGTGTTCTTAGCAAGAACTATTAGACAAGATAAGCGAAGAAAGCAAAAAAGAAAGGACTAATCATTAACTATAAGAAAACAGAATGCATAGTTGTTAGTAAAAGGTAGAAAGTATGAGTTATGTATCGAGGACATAAAAATCAAGGGGGTGTGCAATTTTAACTATCTGAGTAGTATGGTAATAGGCAATCGGTAACGTAACAGAAATCTGAAGGTGTATAAAAATATAGAATATGTTTTTCGGATACTGAGACATATATTAAGGGACACAAAATGTCTTTAGAAACAAAGAAAAATTCGATGGACTGCAATCGAGATGACGTTGAATGAAGGACAATTTCGTTTTTAATCATTACGTTTCGATTGGACGTCTTGATGTTAATTTAAACTGGCCTTCTTTTTACGTATATCTAAACTATAGTTATAAAGTATTTTATTGGAAAGGGGAAAAATCATTAAAATATTTAGGAAAATGTTCATGCTTTCATTAGAAATCAAGAAAATAAAACCTATCATCAAAATGGTCACACTGTACGGAAAATATAGTTCTACCGATGGATGTTGTGAATAACAGATTTGGGGCCACTTAATAAGGGAAGAAGAGCCAGGGAATTGAACACATACAGGGTATATTGATGGTAACAGAAGCAGAGGTAAGCATCGAAAAAAACAACTATTTGCTAAGTTTAAAATATAAGAAAACAAAAAACAAAGTCTGATTGTACAGGAGTGAGTATTGGTGAAAGCATCCAAAAAGAAGCTGTGGGTGCCATGATCGCCTACGTACTAAAGGAAACACACTGAGAGATGGAAATCGAGAAAGGGAGAGAAATTAAATATCTGTTGAATCGTTTCATGTCAAATTATCACTGCATTCATCAATGTCTGCATGTTATCTTGAATCACTAGATACAGGATAAAGAACTCTCTCGCAACAGAAACCGTTCAATACCAAATGAATAATACAAGAATTTCATGTGGAAGAAATTCAAACAATGGAAAATACTTTGAAAGCCGCTTTAAAATTTCATGTCATTTGGATGCATATATATATATATATATATATATATATATATATATATATATATATATATATATATATATATATACCCTTGTGCTAATTAATTGAAGCAACCGCTTAAGTTTCCTTTTTTTGGCATACGGTCAGTTTTAGACCTACTGGAGTGACAGGGTGTAATTGATTTTTTTTTCCTCAGATTAGGTCATTTGCAGTGGTGTGCAGTAAGATGAAACTATTTTAAATGTAAAAGAACGAAAAGAATAAAATTACAATTTATGAAACATCACTTCATTTTACATTTTTGGAAAATCTTCCATATAAGGCAACACCCACCAAAAAAAAAAAAAAAAGTAAAAAAAAGGAAAGAAAAGAAAGTATATATATATATATATATATATGTGTGTGTGTGTGTGTGTGTGTGTGTGTGTGTGTGTATCTCATGGTTATTTATTCTTCTTATAATCTTATTGCCTCCTTATACACTTTTATTATTCATTTTCTTTATCTTTTGGCTTTGAGTGTCAAAAGATGATGTAGCAGTGTTATATTTGGTGTCAGAAACTACTTATCTTTATGTCAATTTTCCGGAATATTCTGGTGTTTTCTAAATATTTCTAATATTGAGCACTTTAACTGATAAATATAGCATACTATTTTGTCATATATAGGTATTTGATAAGAACAATTGGAAATTTTATAGATTTAACATGTCCACATTTTGTATATATATATATATATATATATATATATATATATATATATATGCAGTGTTACATTAGAACATGCACATACGCACTAAAAAACTCTACATCGTGATTTCCCACCTGATGAAACGTTAGAAAATGTTTTTAACGTTGAAACAAGATATACAGTTTTGTAGTGGGCATGTGCACGTTCTGATGTAACACTGCATAATAAATAAATATTTGTTGCTCTACTTTTGTATTGAGCCCTGTTTTAAATTAATATTTTGAACGCTAAAATCTAACTCTTCGTTTTTTTTACAGTTGTATATAT